CTCACTCCGCGGGCCGACAGCGCTATACGGAGCCTGCTTTTATTCTAATGACTTGTGCCACGCCGTGTAAAACTAATCCCTTATAGAGCCACGTAAGGACCTCCTCAGCATCTTAAGCTGCTTCGTCTAATTTTAGGTCCGATAGCTGAGAAAATGAGCGCTCGTGCGAGTTGAGAGGGGGGGGGGATTTTGTTCTCTCAGCAAACAGTGAAGAGCAGCGGCAGCGGCAGCATCTGATGCAACCCCCGGCACAGTTGAGAGAAGCAAATATGTATCAGCCTCGTTCACGGGCTCATTACCTTTTCAGGGTTATTAAACAGGGGGAAGAGCAAACATATTTCCTGTTCCTGTAGAGAGCCTGGCTGGGCATTACCCTAAGTCATGCTGAGTGCTGACAGGGGAAGTGATTGGAACATAATCAGGCGGCTGAGAGGGCCTTTCCACTTCACGTTTATTGATGACTTGGAGGACGGGGCGGAGAGAACAAACACATCTAATGGCCATCAATTAGAAAAGAAAACCAATTAGACAAAGTCTGGAAATGAAAAATAACAAAACGAAGGATGGAGGGAAATGTATGGCCTGCAGGGGAAACGAGAAACTCGGATGTGAAACGCACGAGAAACAAAGAGAAGGAAACTGATTAACACAATCAAAATAGCGATAAATTTAAAATGAAAATTGAAATACAAAAATGACAAATAATTCTGGATATGTCAGAATTGTGGAACACACCGTGGAAAGGTGAAATATGAATGCAGTTTAACAGTTATCTAACAAGAAATGTGCTGGAATAGAAAACAATAATATAAAAGTAGGAAAAACCTTTCACAAATGTGGACTAGACAGATGAAATATTGTGAACATTTGTTCAGCTCGTGGCACTAATCTCTACCTTTTATATCAGTGACACTCAGCAAATCTTTAGAAAGCCACAATCAACGCGCGCGCTAAGCCAAAGGGAAAGCCACGAGGGTCTGCATTATTGGCAACATCACCCTCCAGCGGAAATTCTCCCATCGGTATGCAGCCTCACTCGCACACCAGCCCCCCCTCGTCCCACTTCTAGCCCCCGAACGCCGCGTGTGCCTCACAGCCACCCAGCCGATCCCACCTCCTCTTCTCCCTCCGCACCGCCACGTGCCACGAAGCCCCTTGACAGTGCACAGGAGGAACTCATGGATGCCTCTGGGAGGGCTCTCAGGGGCTGTGTGACCCCTGTGGCCCAGTGGTCCCTGGCCCCATGCAGGTCCCTCTGTGGAGGCCAGAGGAGTGGCCCCGCACTGACAGCCAGGAAGTATTGATTAATCATCGCTTGGAAGGACTGTCGTCCACTCCATCACTAAACAAACGTCAATCCTGAGCACAAATTCACGTTTTATATTTTACTGGCGGACTTCCAGATGTGCCTCGATATCGCGACGTAGCAACGCACAAGTGCCCCCCCCCCCCCGCTCCCCCACGTCTGTGCACGTACGATGGAATCTTACACCAATAACACCGACGGGCACAGTTAATATGGAATCGGCACAGGCGAATGAGACACGGGCTGGGACAAGTTGACTGGGATTCTTATTCCGGCTATCAGCTGCGAGGTCAGCAATGCCATCATTAGCAGTGTAGGGTACCAGCATTGCAGAAACCAGAAAAGCGGATAAGATCAGCTCAACCCTGCTGCTGCAGAAGCCCTAGCTCACACATGCTCAGCTTCCTGCCTTCACGAGTGCAGGCCCATCCTTTATTTCTTTGTCAAGCCCTCATACCAACACTTCATGTGCTCCGGGAAGTGGCTGCCAGGATCCTCACTAAATAGCAGCATCACATGATTACCGGACCCTCCGCTGGCTCCCAGTCCATGGGGCCATCCACCACATCACCCACGTCATGGCCGTCAATGCAGCTATTGGCAACGTGATAGCTGGAAATGTGGTTATTAATGGCAACGGAGTCGGTAATGCAATTACTGCAACGCATGAGGCAGTTTGCACCCAACACAACCGCCATGCCATATCAATACTGACGGGTCTTTGAGGCCCAATTAAAACTCGCTCCTAGGCTGGACTCGGTTTGTTTCGATTGAGCAGTTCATTGGTGAACAGTACCGGATAGTTCAGTAAAAAAACACCAACACAGAAGCAGCTCCACTGATTCAATGGCGGCCTCCGGCAGGAGCAACGCGTTGACCACCCCATGTCATTTCCTCTATCGTCGTAACTTTAATTGCTGCGCGAGTTTTGCCGGCCATTAAGAGTGCCCCGATGCCACGCGGTTCTCATGGCCGCGGTCTGCTCGAGCAGCGCAACAGCGCTTGGAAGCCCCAGCCCGCAGGAAATGACGAATTAGGGCCACATTAAATATACTACGGTTAATGTTCCCATGCTCTGCCTTTAATATGACTAATGTTAAAGAACGATGCGTCTCCTCTATTAGGGGAGAGGCAGCTCGTCCAGGCTGAGCGAGAGAGCCGCTGCACGGCTTGGAGGCCAACAATCAGGCTCCGCAGAGATAGGAGCAAAGCACATGTCTGCCTGCTTCGCTGCTCCCCTTAATCTCTCTCTAAAAACCCATCTCTCAAATAGATTTATGTTATCGAAGCCACTTAATTTCATTGTGCCATAATCAGTTAAAACGCCCGACTGGCCACAGAGCACCTTCCTAATGCAAAGAAGATATTAGTATGGTAACTCAATTTTATACAGAGTACTCGCAGAATTCTTTTTTTTTTTGTCCATTTACAACACCTGACCTTTCGTGATGGAAAACCACGGAAGATACCCACAACACTACATAACATTAAGCAAATCAATTTTCTTATTGCATTTCATATATATCAAGAGACCCCTATTGATTTTATTTCAATGCTCCCTCGCTCTCTTTTCCACACCGGCACAGTTAAATGTTAATTGCGGTTAGATGGGGCATTCATACTTATTTATCCATTAAAGCGGCATCCGAGGGGACCAATGAATGGGCTGTAAAGTCATCACGAAGAGCCGCAGTGCCTTGCCGATGCAAGAAAAATCCTCATGACTGAACTCCCGGGGTTCACAAGAGGTGGGGAGAGCCAGGTCACATTAAGAAAATTATAGACAAACCCGCGCATGGCCAGCCACCGCATGCACTCTGCGATACCGACTGCACGACGAACACTTTGCACAAGCCGCATAAACACGAGACTTTAAAATTCCAAACAAATTCAACTTCATGAAAATGCCACATGTGCTAAGAGGTATCAATATATATATATATTTTCAAATCTTGACTTCAATTCTAATTTAGCTACCGTAGTGTTTTTTGTGACGTACGTTTGCAATGTTTAATTTGACAGCGCTATTTAAAGGCTCAATGCGCGCGTGGGCTTGTGTGAGCTTATGTGATTCACCTATGCACGTGTGAGAGAGCACGTGCACAAATGGAAACCATAATGGGGCTAGATTGTGTGTCTGCATGTATGTTTGCATGTATACGTGCGTGTGCGAGCATTTAACTTGATACAAGCATCAGCGTGACATCATTTTCACGTAGTGGCGAACAGTGATTCTGTTTGTTATTATTATTTTTTGTGTGTGTGAATGTCTATCAAACTTGCCTAAGATATACAAACTCTCATGGGGCCTGTGTGTGTGTGCATTATATGCGCGTGTGCCTCTGCTTTTGTATCTTGCCAGCCTTAATAAGTACTCATTAACAGCACTTGCCCCAATAGCCCATTTACAGCTATCTGGGGGATCTTTGTGTGCTTGTACGTGTGGGTGTATGCAAAGCGAATTGATGGTGCAGTGGTCTTGCAATGAGTTTTGAACCCACTACTTGAATTCAGTTCCAGGCCATAGCCAATTCAGCCTTATATAAATACCTGTCACTGTGGGTAAACATCAGCACGATAGAGACAAAGGTGGCTGGGCATGGTGTTGTCCACCCATTCTCTCCTTCGCCATGCCAGCCTTAATAGGTGCACTTGATTGGTTAGAGACCACATGGGGGATCTTTGTGAATGTGCATCAGCCATTCACTTCAGCCAGTTAACCCATAACATCTGAGCCTGTCCTATAACCTCCTGTCAGCGAGGTGTCACCACTTCACTGAGCCTCAAAGTCTCGCTAGTCTGGCACAAGGTTGTGATGACATCCCTGCCAATTAGTGATAAACTGCAGCTTTCAGTTGTTGTTGTTGTTGCATGATCTTAAAGGTGCATTGAAAAATTATAATACTCTGATTGATGCTCCTTGCTGTTGTGGAGTGACTCATGCAGCCAGCTATGGCTGCAGGGTTTTGGTAGTACATGTTGTTTATGCCATTTATTGTGAAAATTCCGTCACAGTTCCTATGATTGCTTTTTCATTGCTTTCACAGCTTTATTTTGGTGATTTCGAAACGTGTATTGGTTTAGCCATTATTGTTTGTTGTAGTACAGAGTTAGACTGATGGCCTTAATCTAAGTTGTCTTGTGGTTGTTGTTTGACTTGCATCCCACTGGGATTTTTGCACACAGCGTTGGTCTACGGTGCCTTTTCTGCAATATTTTGCTGTCTTTTCTTGGATTTTCTGTTTGCACTTAGTCACATATTCACTTTAAGATGTTTTTTGTTCATGTTTTTGTTTTTTTGTTTGTTGCGGATGCACCCGATTCAAGAGCCGTAAGGCTCACAGGGCTATACCTAATAAATGAACTTGAACTTGAATGTGTCAGTGTATATAGGTGACAAGTGGTGGTGCAGTGGTTATCCGTGTTCAATTCCTGCTCACAACCGACATCTGTGACGATGATCTGAACTGGTACTGGGCCTCCCCTAGGTCAACTCAGCCTCAAATGAGTACCTAGGTGTAATGTTTAAGCATCGCCACTGGGGAGACAAAGGCGGCCGGGCGTGATGTTGGCCACCCATCCCCTCGTGTGGCCCTGTCAGCCTTCATGGGTGCTCGCTAACAGCACTTGCCCCAAGTCCATTATAGGCTACACGAGAGGGACGTTTGTCTTTGCGTGTGCCGGACCGCCTCACCTGGAATGTGCTTGGCCCAGCCGATGATGACCACAAGCTCGCGGTCGGCCAGGTCGCACAGCGTGGTGAGGGCCTTGATGTCTCCCTCGGGCACGGTGGGGTCGGGCATAGCGTAGATCTTCTCGGGTTCAGCCACCAGCAGGTGCGAGATGATCTTGTTCACTGGAGGGAGCAATGGAAAGGTGGCGCGCTCAGTGCGATGCCAAGGGACCAGGACCACACGTGTCCTGAACTTGGGAACCAAATTGAAGCCACGCACTCCCCCCCTGCACGGGAAGACTCTTTCCCGATGGCACGTTTAAGAATAAGTCAAACATTTTACCTGCAATCGTCGAAAAATTTGATGCAAAACAAAAATATGTAATCCATAATTGTGTGTCAGTACGTGTTTCAAGATTACGTTTTTAATTTGCATCTAACGTGCAATCACAACATTGAGTCCTCATGCCTAATACTTAACAATAATAAGTAATTAAAGAGAAAAACGGGTTTATAATTGAATATAAATATAATAATATAGTAAATGTCATTATTTTCATTTACATGTTTGAGGCAATCCACGCTATTGATTTACATTCACGATCTTAAATGCTCATTAACACTGACAATTTATTATTTAAGAACCAATAATTCTACACATTAATTGACTTGAACTGCACATTCACTGTTCAAATTGCTTAATCAATGCGTGCGAAACATATTTTTCTTGTCGACGCAACGCCAAACCCTGTATTCATTTCATTTCCTCCATGTCAAGGAGAATAAGGGACAGTAGAAGATGCTGGTTAATGTTGGCATAAGTGGAATCAATACAACTATTAACATTAATGGCTTCGGGAGCTGTAAATGTTCCAGGCAGCCAGAAGAACAACAGGACTGGGACTTTACGACAATAAAATTTCTTGCCTGAATGAACCTCTGACACCCAGTAAATGGAAACCGGCCATAGATTACGCGGGTGCCCGTGATACCACGGCCAATTAAAAAGCCCTCCGGTGCATTATCTGCAGTGCTTCAGATAAAGAGTGAAAATTGAAAGGGCTGCAGCCAAACGGGGGGAGTTAATCACGGGCAGCTCTGGGGTTGTTTTCCCCGTGCAGAGCGCACGGCTTGAGTCGGAAAGCTGCGAAAGCCGCGAGAGAGAGAGGAGAAGAGAGGGCGGAGAGAGTGGCGAGACGCTCTGCGCCATCACCGTTTAGCCGTGGAGCCTCGAAGTCTAGACGCAGCACCGAGGCTGCCAGGTGATATTTTTTTTCTGCTGCTGCTGCTGCTGCACTGGTGGATTTCCAGCGCAGCGTGGAGACAAGTGATACACTAATCCTCAGTCGCATCACCCAGGGGAGATCTCGCCCCGGCCGAGTGGGGAAGCATTTAATTACAGTCTTACCCATTGACAAACGGCTCAATTCTACCAGCTCTGCAGCGTCTCATAACAGCAGGCATGACAAAACTGTCTCCGGCACACACGCCACTGCTCACCGCATTGGAACACACATTTCGAACAAAATCCTTCCCTTATCGCTCTTTGGGCTGCTGCCTTTCCAAAGCCTAGACACCTCCGTGTCCCTCTGACACGGGACGTCAGAACCCAGGCGAGTGCATAAAACACCGCCGAACAGCAGGTTTGGCACAAAGATGAAAGGAAATGCGAGTGCGTGTCGTGCGGTGGCATCGGCCGGGCACGAGTGCGCCGCGCCCGACTGAGGTGGAGCGGGCCCCACCGAGGCTCCCGTTGCAGGGCTTCTTGACTGTCTGCGCCAGCTGGGGGTTGAGGTAGGGGCTGTTCTCGGCGTCGATCCGTCGCTTGTACTTCTGTCGCCCTCCTCGCACCCGGTCGAGACGCACGCCTGGAAGGCAGCGTGCGAGGCAGACACAGCAGCAGCAGCAGCGACAGGAAGCGTGACCCCTTTACAACCATTATTATTTCCAGCATTATCATCGTTCCCCATCGCCCCGCACCCACCAACCTCCCCCCCGCCCCCCCATCATTAATGTAAATTCAACAGTCACAAGTGTTTTTAAAATGTAGGTGTTTGCAAAAATATATAGATGTATTTAATGATGTCTTAAAGGTTTGTTTAATAACTAACCACATAATTTATTAATTCTTCGAAGATTAAAATTGGAGTTATAACATTTAGATATCTAAATAATTTAAATGTAGTTCCACATATTTGGAGAGAAACAGAATTTAATAAAAGGGCAAGTCCTTATTTTAGTTTTTAAATATGAGATGTAAATTACACATGCTAGCGGCACGCTGCCTCACTCTCAGCGGCAGTCTGCACGGAAGGTTACATTGCTAGAGCAGTCATCATAACACTTCACTCCGCACTGACATTTTAACAGTGATAAATGTTCAATACGAGTGGGGAAATTTCCAATCGCAAAAACCTTGATCATAAAAACAGAGTCAAACGGATTTAGCACATACCTACATTGCTGATGTGTTTCTACATGAATTCAAATGCATTTAATTGAATATGTGTTATGTCCTATTGCATTGATCTTCCATATGATTGCCAGTTAGGCCAATTTAGGTGGCTCTGTTGTCAATAACGTGTTGCTTGGAGGTAACGTTCAGGCCATCGATAAATAACCCGTCCACGCTGGGAAGGTCAGCCCTGAGTTGGCGCATCCCTGATTTACACGCAGCGGCCAGCGACCCCACGTGAGAGCGCTGTCCTTTGCCCAATCTATCCTTTTAATTTACTTTCATCAAGAGGCCCCTAATTTAATTAATCCAGTTTCTCATGAGACCCGCAACGTCACGGTAAACAGCTAACCAAAAATGACACCTCACATTTGACACGTTAACGGCAATGCCGAGTGTAAAATTGAGGAGCGTTCCGCACCAGAAGTCTGCTTAACCTCGTCCCAGAGCGAGCCCAGCATTCTCCACGACCCAGGCACTCGACTCACAACTCCGCGAGTTACGACTAATTAAACAGAGCTCTTGCAGTTCCCCTCCCTTTCTCCTGCAACGTAATCAGACGGTGTAACAAATTATTCAGCGGTGATGCGCATCGCCTCTGGAAAAGCTGCTCACCACGTAATGGAAATAAATGTGAGCCTCAGCACTTACGCCACGGTGAACATCTTCAAGTTAAAGAGCGCGCAAACAAAATATGGGCGCATTTATTTTCTCAGGAATTGCCACAAGAGTGAAAATTCATAACGGGCCGACGAGCTGCATCAACTTTTTTAGCGACTGCACGAATGTGTTCACAGCGGATTGATGAAGGGCGATGCTTGTGATTTTTTTTCTCATCTCAAATGCTTTCTGTCCTGCCCCCGGGGGAGGCACGCAGCGTGCACGAGCATCGCCGGAGGAACGTGCGAGCGTGCGTCCACGTCAGGTCCACTTGCAGCGTCCGCGCAACGACGGAGAGAAAGAGGACGAGGCGGCTGAGAGGTCGAGTGGGGAAGCTGTCAGGCGACGTGTTTGAGGCTCACATTCTAAGTCAGGTAACATGCCGTGACGATGCTGCACATAACCGCAGCTGCTTATAAATCACAAAATAACACCAGCCCCTCCACTTTGTGGTACGTTATCATCAGTTTACGGTCTCTAATGACTTCGATAGGAATCGCACCGAGGTGCTCCTTGCAAACATTTGCACAGAATGAATTTAATGACAAGCATAAAGATGGCACACAGAGATTTAAATGTGTCTAATAGAGTCATCGCCTCCAGGCAAGGAATACAAATCGAGCTACGTGCCTGAAGGCGGCGTTTTTTGTCGTCTCTTTCCACTTTGCATACGGTCATCCCGCAGACAATCTCAGCCGGACAAATGACTTCCCACGCTGGCAGGCGCGCTCATGGAAGTGACGGCAGAGATGTACACGCTGCATGTGTAATTCTCCATGACTTGGCGTACGAATGTGTGTAAGTGTCCTAATCAATATGTGTCTGAACTGTCCCGATAAGTAAACACAGCGCCGCGCGTGCAATTGACAAACAGCATTTGTTAACGTCGTGCTGAGCAAGGCAAAGCACGACTGCACTAGAGCTTCCGTCTAAAAATAAACGCGAGATACATTACAAGCATTAATTGATGGCTCAGCGAATCCAAAGATGATTTTCTCGCTTAAATTAGGATCGCATTAGACTTTCAGTTTGCTACCGTTCGTTGTCACATCTGGGCAAACACTTTAAGAGCTGAGCGACAGATGAGTGCGTTAGCCTTCCAAGTCTAGCACGCAGCACGCGTATCAATGGGAGGGCGAGGGGTGGGGGTCTTGAATGTTGGCCAAAATGTTGATTTCCTCTTCCTTTCAGCAAACAAACTTCCCGTGTATTTGTCTGTACAGCACACATCCGCAGAACGCTGTGCCGCATTGATCGCAGCGGAATAATTTGCACCGAACTGTGGCTGTAATCAAACGATCGAGACTGCGCCAGCACCATCCCTGTCGTGCAGTCAAAAATGAGCACGAGCTCCACGACAGCTTTGTGTACAAAATGTACAACATACCAGTGTTTTTATTTGCACACAAAAAAAAGAAAAACCCCCACATCGGTCCATGCGTAGGGAGTGATGGCGCCAAGACCCTGTGCCAGCCACGTGTATTATAACGTCAGGGGGATATCTTCTATGGCACCAACATCCACACGTGCAGGCCAAGGGAGAGCTCGCTCATTCAATTTAAAGATATAATTTCAATTATGAAAAGCCCGCTGTGATATTACGCAAGTTTGACAACGACGGTACATGCTGGGCAGAGCCAGGGTACACATTTTTTGTGATATGCGGTGCCTTTGCCAACGTCCTCTCCCGCTTTAATACGAAAACAAAAATGATTGCACATTACATAAATGTGTATAGCGTAATCCTCTTCAGAGCACATTCATCATTATTAACGAGGCAACCACGATACCTTTTACTCAGGCCAAACGAGAGGCTACCGTTTCTCACACTGTGTTCGTGAACCACTGGATGAGAATGCAGACCTGACTCCCTAAACATGTTTCAACACACAACAACCAACCGTCATTTGCCAGTAAGTAGCGGTGACGTCACCACGGGGTTTGTGCCAGGCTATGTGCACTTTAAGGCCACGTGAACGAGACAGACGCAAGCGCCATGAGTTGACTGACTGAGATGAATGGCATTCAACACACAAAAGCAAAGATCCCCTATATAGCCTCAACAGACTTTTTGAGGCAAATGCTCTTAGCGAGCACCTATGAAGGCTGGCTCGGCACCCGGGGGTGGCCAGCCCCACGCCCGGCCACCTTTGTCTCCCGAGTGGCGACATTTACACATCGCACCAGGTACTCATTTGAGGCTGAGTCGACGTAGAGGCCCACGACCAGTTCAAATAATTATCACTGTTGTTGGCCGTGAGCGGGAATTGAACTTGGGTCCGCCGGGTTCATAGTGCAGAGCGCTAACCGCTACATTGCCACTCAACACACACAGACACTTCCTGACCCACACTCTAAGCCAATTTCGCCGTGGCTCGAATTGAAGAGGACGAATGAACTTCGCACGCAGGTCACGAGTTAAGGAGGGCATTTTTTATCGGCAGTGAGCGCTGGAAGCCGATGCGTGGGAAGGGCAACGAGAGAGGGGGTGGCGAGCGAGAGGGTGGGGTGGTAGCTGCGGTGGCGGCACAGCTGTTGGTAACGTGGCCGGCTCCAGGAGCCCGCACCTCAGATGCTGCTGCCACGGCGCATCGCTGGAGCGCGCGGGTCCTCGCCGTCACGGCGTGGCGGGCCGGGGTCACGTCACGCTGTCGCCCGCGCGCACCGCCGCCGAGCCGTCGCTGACGCCGCGCAGTCACGCGCCCTTAACGTCCCGGCCGGGCAAACGCGAGACGACGAGGGCCGCGTGAGGCCGACTGTTTGGCAAACTCGATCATTGTTTTGGCAGGCGGCGCTGCCTCCAAAACCCACCACTGTCCAGACTCCAAAGCCGCGGCGGCGCAATAACCAGAGCTGATGGAAGCTCCTACCGCGCTGGAATTAGCACGGAGGAGATCACAAACAATATTTCACGGGAGAGAAATGCTCGATGACACAGAGAAGAGGCAACAAGAGATCACCACATTCATAGCCCCCCGACTTGATTTTAGCAATCGCGACAACTCCTGCCATGCTCTGTAGGCTCTTTCTGCCGCACCGCACAGGACGCGCACCTCAATTTCAGCTCAGCCACAATAGCGCTGTACCTTTATTCAGAGCGCACACGTGCAAAGGGACGTGTTAAATTAAAAAAGAAAATTACCAAGTGTCCTGAGCAATTCATTTTTCCAACGACTGTAATGATGGCATAATTTGCAATCATTCTCACAATACCTAACATCATGAAGATGGTTTCCATGCGAGGTTTTTCCATTGTTTTTCGCTATTGGTGCAAAATAAACTTCCAACAGGGCCCTTGAGTGCACCAACTGGCTGAGAAAGAAGTGACAAGGTCCAAATATATTCCTTGGCATCGAAGCTCAGGCACAAGCTACAATGGGATTCCCACAGGCCATGCTCCATGTCCCGCATCCAGCAATCCGTACTCATGCCTCACGCCTTGTGTGACGTGTCCTACAATGTGTACCCTGTGTCCCCCCTCCTCCCCCGCCCCCTCCGTGACCATGCCATGTAACTCCTGCGTTACTCTAAAGAGGAAGCTTTGTTTGGAGCCAATCTCCGGCCTAATACTCCTTCAACAATTTGCTTTAAAAGCACTGAACCAGTAGTGTCAAATAGCTCCACGAATATTGGCAGAAACGACCAAAATTCACTGTATATCATGTAATCGTCATTTGTTATTGGTCAGTATCAGAATCTTGATTTATCCTGGAGGAATCCGATAAACTGTGAACCTATTTTTCACAGATGTCC